ATAAAGGCAGGCATCTGGAGAGTGACAAAAATCAAGAATAAAATTTACAAAGATTATCAAAATTATTGTCAGATTGATTGCTCTTCTTAAGTATTTTTTAGATTTTGTTGATAAACATTTTGGTAAAATGTTGAACTTGCTTCCTGATTGTATTATGGTAGTAGGCAACCCACCCTGTTTGGTCAAAATTCAGTCCTTCAGTAGTAAATATGGATGCAGGCCTGGGTGAATTGTATATTGAGAATGTGCACTGGCCAGATGGGCAGTTAACAATTTGAAATGGGGAGGGGGCCCTAAAAAGAGTCGTTTTCACATTCTCAATCTTGTTTCAGCCTCACACACAGCAGCAGTTGAAGAGGCTTTCTCCTCAGCCATGCAGTTCTTTGATCAGCTGTTTCAGCCTCACATCCAGAAGCGTTCAAGTATGCTCTTCTGGAAAGCCAATGGCTACGTTGATCTTCAGACTCAGTGGCTCTGATTGAAGCATTCTTAGAGGAATTTTGAGACAGGTAAACTGAATGTTCTAAAGACAATTCATTATCTCTTATTCGCGTGGCAGACCTGGTGGCAGCGGTCTTGCATGTCTTAGGCAAGTATGAATTGTCAAATGGAATGCATGGGCAAATACCAGAAAAGAACGTTGTAAAGCTACAGGGATCACCAAGCTTGAATAACTAAGAAAGTTTGAAAAAATGAATGTTGAGTAGTAAAAAATTATTACTATGGTGAATGCAATGCAAAAATGGAGAGGACAATAAAAAAATTTAAATTGGGAACAGCAATAAATGACAATGAAAGCAACGCCTTAAGACTGTAATAGTAGGCTTTATGCAACAGAAAAGGGAATCTCACTTGAGGGAGATTGATCGCTTGGCCACAGAAGGGGAATGTGTAATTTGGACTCAAAACCGGCACTGAAGAATTATCTATCAAACAATAAAAAATTTCATCAAAATCAGATAAAAACTGTGGAAACACAAACACCATCCGATCACACACACACACACACACATTTTGAGAATTATAGATATAGATAATATTATTGTAATAATTTAAAGTATTTATTTTTATTAAAGTTTTTATGAAAGATATATATCCAAGAACAGATAGTAAGTAGTAAAATGTTGTTGAGAGTTATAATGGACAGGAAGTAGTGGAGAGCCATTGTCGCCAATAATTTGAACTCAAAACCAGCACTGAAGAATTATCTATCAAACAAAAAGATTTCATCGAAATCGGATGAAAAATGTGGAAACACATGAACATCTGATCACACACACATTTTGAGAATTATAGATATTAGATGGTGATTTTGCAGGCACACAATCTTTCTCTCTGTAAATAATAATAAGTGTGGTGGGTACATTATATATATATATATATATATATATATATATATATATATATATATATATATATATATACATACATACATACATACAAAAACATTTGACTTTATATATTTTATGATAATTTTTCAGACATACATCTCTCTCTCTCTCTATATATATATATATATATATATATATATATATATAGAGAGAGAGAGAGAGAGAGATGAGAGATGTGTCTGAAAAATTATCATAAAATATATATATATGTGTATATATATATATATATATATACACACACACACATACAGAGTGTAATGGCTAAACTAAACTATTAACACTTTATATTTTTAATTTCGTACATGCACATTGTTTTAGATTTTGTCAACAACACAGTAGTAGGGTCAGTTGGGCACTGTCTGTGAGAAAAAGAGGACCATGATGCAATTCACTCGGCCAGAAATTTGGAAATGGCATGCTGTACTGCTTAGCATTAGCACTAGAAGCTCCAATATAAACATTTCAGTGTGTTTGGGTGTCATTCTGAAGACAGTGCAGAGGATTCAGAAAGAGTTGGAGGAGTCTCATGGTAATAATGAAGGTGTTTGGAGTGATCACTTGTGATGGTGACATTATACCTCCATTCATCTTCCCACCGAACCTCAGACCCAACACACAGGCCTACATTAAGTGCCTTGAGGAGGGAGTGCTGTCCTCTATCAAAGAAAAAAAAAATTTCATCGAAATCGGATGAAAACTGGAAATGCATACCAACATCTAACTATGCACACATACATACACATTTTGAGAATTATAGATATAGATAAGCAAGAGATTATAGAAGCATCATACCTGTGACTACAAAAATGGTTTTCTGGCAATGTTTAACCTACAAAAAAAAAAAAAAAAAAAAAAAAAAGTGTCGAAAGGACAGTTATTCCTCGACACTGCCATTACTGTATATATTATGGATTTTCTTGGCAATGTTTGTTTTAAAAAGTTATTAGAATTTTAATAAAACCCAAGTATATGAAAGTGGATTTACACATTTTTTTTATTCTTGAGAATTGACAGCAAAGATATTAAACATTATTATATTGAATAAAAAAAATAAAAAATTATTTTCATATTTATTTATAAAATGGTAAATAATATATATTGCATTGTAATTCGTTTACATATTTCAATAATTTTTGTAATTTTTATAAATTTTTGAATAAAAAGACTTTCAAATTTATTTCTTTACAAAATGGTAAATAATAAATCTTTATAAATTGGTAAATAATAAATCTTTATAAAATGGTAAGTAAATATAATATTATATTTGGTCCCCATTTTTCTAATCTTGTAAGTAAATATTGCCGAGTGAGTCAAATGTGTGTACAATAATAGTGGCATCAAGGGAATAATCATCCTTTTGAGACATTTTAAAGCTTAAACATTGCTGTTTTTAAAACAAGTTTAAAATAGGCATCTTTTTATTTCTATTCAGATGATTATAGCAACTAGTTTCATTAAACTGGTACATAGGATAAAACTGCAACTCCCTTGTTCATCAGCACCTGCTAAACTCACTACTGAAGTCGAGTCTGGAGAGTTTGCATGCATGTGTTTCTGTGTGAACATATAAAATAGTTCCTTTTATTACTCAAATGTTATTTTTAGTGGATACCTATATTTGAGTAGATTTTCTACTTATTTATTAAACAGTATATTTATTTATTTTTATCTATTGGCCTGAATATTTGAGAAATCTTATTAAAGAAAAATGTTCTGTTTTCCGGCATTTTCTTTGAGATGATCTCTTGAATTTTCAGACTGGTAGATGAAAATAAATATACTATTTAATAAATAAATGGAGCATCTACTCAAATATGGTTATCCATTAAAAATAACATTTAAGTAATAAAATCTGTTGGATTAAATAAAAATCCATCACTTCTTTAGAAAATGGTTCCTGTAACTTTTCGAAAATACTACCCAGCCACACTGACATTTGATAAGGCACCATGCAAAGAAAATTAACCATGTACAAATGTTTCATATGAAATAATTTTTATTTGTCTTTTTTCTTTTCTTTTAAAAGGTAATTTATATGAATAACCATTTATGGAGATAACAAATTGCTCTGAAAAACTTGTCACATTCATTTATCCAAGTTGCTTTGACTATTACAGTAGTCCTGAGCCAAGCAAAAAAAAAAAAAAAAAAAAAAATGTCACTATCCATTGGTCATGATTTCAATCATATCACAGTACAACAAACCATAATATATATATATATATATATATATATATATATATATATATATATATATATATATATAGAGTTATTCTTTACATTGCTCCAAAATCTTTCCTTGATAGTCCTGGTAACATTCTTAGATTTACAATGTAGAAGAGATAATAAAGCATCACTGTCCTAACAAAATTTGTATTCAAGTGTAACATTTTCAATAAATTTATAAAACAATCAGTAATAGAAACATTTAGCAGAATACCTTCAACCATATATGAGGGGGGACCCTGAAAAGGGATTTAAAAAAAAAAAAAAAAAAAAAAAGTCAGTCAGATTTTGGCAAGAGGGGCAAAATAAGAATTTTGTAACACCCTATATATATATATATATATATATATATATATATATATATATATATATATATATATATGTGAACTTGTTAAGCAGGACATATGTTACTCAATATAATTAACTATTATGTCATGGAGGACCATGATTGTGTTTGGATTAGAAAATACTGCATACATACTTTTATTCACATAACTAGTGACAGTTTAGAAAAACAATTGTTTTATAAGTATCAGCAAATATATTTAATAATAGGGCATAATTTAAAATTTAAAATTTTTGAAAGGAGAGAAAGAAAAAAAAAAGTCCATAAAAAAATTTAAAATACTTCAATGTAACTAAACTCTTGTAAATTTTGATTGAAAAAACAATTTATTGTCAAAAGAGACAAAAACAAATATTTAGCATGTCATACATTCAGTCATCCATAAAAAAGACATTTACAAATGCTTCACTCCTAAATTTGACATTCAAATCAGCTAAGACTAATTTTCAATGTACATTAAACTGAAATAAATGAGAGGTAAGGAGGAAAGTGCTGTAAGTTCTTGGCCCAGGTTATTTACAAAGATCTGACCAAACAGATTTTTTTTTTTTTTTTTTTTTATTAAATCCCTTCTTGGAGAGGCCAAGAAGTCTTGTAAAAAGCAGACCAATATTGAAAAATCTATAATAAAAACAATTACAATATGCTGACGTTTGAACAGGACTCTTTTCTATCTCTCAACAAAACCCAAGAATTAAATTATACAAACTTGGGTAAAAGTTGAAGGCAGCTTTTAGTTTAAAAAAAAAAAAAAAAAAAAAAATATATATATATATATATATATATATATATATATATATACACACACACACACACACACACACACACACACACACACACACACACACACACACACACACACGCTTGTTTTATAAAAATGTTGACAAGTGAAGACAAAAGTATTACTATTAATAAGTGTGAAGAAAGTCAAGTGAATAGAAATATTACAAGTTGATTACAGCTCTCGTGCATAGGGAGGCTGGGGAGCTTATCTCCGCCTTCCATCCCCATCAAATCTTTTGCTTGTGATAATTTCTTCACCACCACCAGAGGAAGGGTGACCACAACATGGAGCCTACCAAGGCACCAGTGGCCATTCCCACTGCAACATCTGTTCCACTGTAGTTTCGCCGTCTGTATGGGCTTTGCATGTAAACAACATTTTGACCTGAGAAAATAAATTAGACACATTAAAGAGCTGGTAAATGGTTATTATATCTATAAATGAAGTAGTTCTCCAAGTCAATATTGGTTGACCATCAATCTTTCAGGATTCACAAGTCCTGTAGCTTTGATGCCTTCCGATTGTGACTTGGACAGGCATTTAAGAATTAATTAAAAATTTCTACAGACAACCCACAACCAAGAGAATGTACATTTTATGCAAATTTTATTTATCAAAGTTTTTACAACATTTTGGTCAAATGAGAACAAATGGAGTAGAATTTCGCTGTATGTAACATTTAAAAGAGAGCTCAATATTATTTATTTTAGGATATTAAAACTTAAAAAAAAAAAAAAAAACACTACATTATGGCAATTATGTTTCAACACTTCAAATGTGTCTCCTTGGGTAATGTTAAATTACTGGCAAGTGAAAGATTAATTTAATTTCACTTGCTACCAGTTTAACATCGCCTGAGGGGGACACATTTGTAGTGTTGAAACATAACTGGCATTATGTAGAGATTTTTAACATGTTTTAATATCCTAAAATAATTATATATATATATATATATATATATATATATATATATATATATATATATATATAAACTTCTTTTATCAACTTTAAAAATGAAAAATGGTGTATATTAGACAGAACTGGATGAGAAGTGATATGAAATGTTTGGTTTAAAAAAAAAAAAAAAATTGAGAACTTATCAACTGTAAAAAATAAATAAATAAAATAAAAATAAAGAATAATAAAAAAACAAATAAATAAAAAATAATAAAAAATGAATGAAAAAAAATTTAAATCTCTAGAAAACAATCCTCTAATTGGATTTAAAAAAAAAATTTTGGTCCTTATTAAAAACAAACAACTAAACTAAAACAAGCAATTGCCTTTTATTCATGACTTGTATAACAATCGACAAAAGCTATTGACCTATTTTTTGGGGGTTTGTTTTTTTCTGATAACCTATTTTGTCACAGTAAATGATATGTTTATACCTTTCTAAGTTGTATTTGTATTAGTAATACCATGTAGCATATACATTATTGTTTTTAACCCTCAGTTTCATTGGTTCAGAAAATCTGCTCCCCTAGAACCTGACTGTTTCCAGTACTTCTGTGACAGGGAGAGAAGAGAGAGATACATAAATAAGTAATGATTAGGGGCATTATTCAGTGTGTCCACATTGGAACTGAATTTGACACAAGGTCAGTTTAAAGTGGATTTAATGACAATACCATGAAAAAAATTGTTCAAGCTCCCTCCACACTTCCCCTTTTTGGGAATGCCTCAGGCACCAAGTAATATGGCATACAACCAGGAATTGACCCATGCCCACTTCCTCACGATTGTACTATATTATGGTTAATTAGTAGGCTTTGTATCAGTAAATGATTATTACCTCCCAAAAATCCTTAAAAAAAAAAAAAAAAAAAAAAATCAAATTAGTCAAAGCCAGCTCACATACTGGAATGCTAATATTGCAACCAATTATGTATATATGCCCATCATCACTTTCTTTGTACTATGGATAGATGGTGTTAAGAAAGCAATTAAATTTATTATATTAACTTATTTGATGTATTTTGACAGAAGGGAGGTAAACTAGGGAAAAAAAAAGAAAAAAAACAAACAAAAAAACAACAGATGTTGGATAATCAATCCCACTTGAGAACTTCCAGCAAGGTATAGAGATGGGATGGGGAAAGAAACCTTTTGAATTGTGTTGTGTGTGTGTGTATATATATATATATATATATATATATATATATTTTCAAATGTTGGATGTTGAAGGAAACAGTACAAAGTGTTAAAAATTATTTCCATTTAAAATGACTAAATTTCTATTTACAGTCAGGAAAAAATGGTAAGAATCAAAAAACAATCTTGCCAAATTGTTTCAAAGAGAATACTCAGTTCACTTTTTACAGATTCTTTTTGTTAAGTTGTTAAATAGCTCAAATGTATATTTACTACTCGGCACAAGTACTGAACTGACAGTCTTCAGGTAATGTAAACTTGTGCTTTAATAAGTTGACCTGTTCCACCTGCAGTTGAAATATGTTCTGCCTATTGACTTCTATATAAACTTATAGTTTTTTCCCACTGGGGTCCTATAAAATCCATTTACCTTTAACTGGGATTTATATTTTAGCCCAAGCTCCATGGGGTTGGGAGACCATCCCCCAATCCCTGACTGTACCTCTCCCTTGGGAGAGGGCCGAGTTTATTACCCAGTGCTTGAGGTAAACTTCACACCCAAACAATAAAACCTATAATGTTGCTTGTTAGAAACAATCGACTACTCACCATATGGCATGTAATGCACTTGTTGAACTGAGTGAGTTCCAGGAAACTCATTGTCAGCATAGGTGACAACCTGTGGCTGGCCATACAACTGAGCATATGAGGGTGGTGGTGCCATACCATAATATTCCTGCTGGCGTGTTGTTAGAGCAGGATCAGAGAAGCGGCGTGTTGGACGAAGGACTCTAGCCTCCTCAAGAGCAATTTCCCAAGCTCTGAAATAGAAAAATTATATTTATTTATTATTTTTTTTAGACCATGAAGCATGTGATAAATAAGATCTTTAATTTGGTCATTGAGAAAGAACAGTAGACATTTTCATAGCACTGCTTAAGTGCAAATGAATGTGAACTTCATTGAACAATCAACCTAATGAGCAACATAATGAAACTTATCTGAATTCTGGGGGAACAGCATGCAGAGCAGAATTAGAACAGAAATAAGACAAGAACAGTGTTTTTTTCATAAAAGACACTGAAACAAGGAAGTTTGGAAAGAAAATAAAACCTGAACACCAACAATGTATTGCACATTACATACATCTGTCAGTGATAGACATTCTATATAAAAAAAATATTGAAAATATCGCCTCAACTGATGAGACTGATAAAAAGTGAAGAGATTATTATAACAATCATGATGATGAAGCTGAAATAAGCCAACAAGACAATTTTTCAAACAGATTTGTCTCACGAGAATGCTTGTTTCCCTTAGCCAAAACCTGAATTTAATAAAGACTTAAATAAGGTAAGAGAAATTTCCAAAATTTTTCTGAAAATCACATACAAAAAATTAAATTTTGCAAGATTCTGTATGAGTGAACTTTGATAACAGAGTATAAACTTATACTTGATTGCAGAACCAAGTGGAATAGCACATTCCATATGAGAGAAAGATTTTTTAAAATTAAAAACTGTATTCCAAATGCTCTGCAAATAGTATTTTCCACAGAAGCCGTAGCTGACGATGAATGGAAAACTCGATTTGCTTTATGAAATTCTACATCTGTGACAGAAGAGAGTCAGGGAAACACACACACACACAAGTATTTTTTTTATTATTATTGAAATTGGAGTGGATCTGAGTAGTGAAATTAGATCAGCATTTTTCTTTACTGATGGAAAATCTGATCTAGGAGTTGTACCCATTTGGAATTGGGTCATTAGAAAGACAATGGAAATGGTCGAAATAATTTTTATCAGTTAAAATTATAAATAGAACTATGAGGAACTTTGGAATTCACATGATTTTGGTTGAAAGTAGCCAGAACCCGTGATAATCACATACGAAGTAGTAGAGCCAAGTGTCGATTATAACCAGTTAGGTTTATCTATATAAATGCATAGTTATGCTGAAAAAAGTGGGAGTTTTCTGCTCGTCTGTCTTCGAGCGCAGTTGAGCTGGGTGGAGAGATATTGGAGATTGAAAGTGAGCAGAGTTGAATTGAAGGCTCAAAGTACGAAAGTGATGTCAGAGATTGGAATAAAACCCCTGCTAACATGTACTGTTGATACAAGTACCACTGCTTCTGCTACCACGAATATTACTACTACTTTTACTACTGCCGAGGAGGAATGCAACTATAAACTTTAAGCCGTGCACAGAAATCTTTATCTCTCCATTGCAAGAGTTGTATATCGTTCTGAGACGATTTAACAACAAGTTAATCACAACCCACTCTGTCCAGAATCCAGTGTATGAGTTTTTACGTCAAATACTTTTCTTTTCTGTAATCTGTTTCTTTTCTATACTATTCTTTTCTGATATATAAAAGACATTAACAATTCAATCATTGAATAGTTGTTTGTCTGGCTTTCTGCTGATATATATTTTTTTTTGGTGCATTCTAAATTTCTTAGCACAGACTCTCCAGCCATATCTACATCTTCAGTCGATGATGAATGGATGAACATCACTTCTGTTTTCTGGATCAAACCAAACACAACGTGGGCAGAAAGCAGGATTAAATCAGTGGACTGGTCGAATGATCTATGGATGCTCAGGGGACCTACAGCCATTCCCTTAAGTTTGGTTAAGACTAAGTAGACACATCAACCCAGAGAGTAAGACATCAGATGTTGAGGGGTTGGGGTGAAAGTGTTAGACATCCAGTAGAGATTATTTTGAAGGCTATTTGGGTTGATGATACGGATTTACTCAAAGTGGAATATTCTATAGAATTTTTATTGGATAAACTTAATATCATCGGCAAACCCTTCGGATCTAAATCTCCATGAAAGACATGCATCGGTATAATAAGAGAAGAAATATCGAAACCTCGACTATCTTCAGTTATTTACACAATCCAAGGACATTTAAAGATGAATTGATCTCTGGACCTTTTCTTTTTCTAATAAAACAACTTTTAAGCAAGTATGTTGAACAAGCATATAAGAGATTATTTCCTGGACATCACAAGGAGAACACAACAGAATTATGTGAATAGAAGTGAATCTAAAAACACGTGTTACTGTTGTCCCATCTTCTGAAGCTGATGATGAACTCATGTCTGAATATACTAGTGCAATGAAGAAAATAAATGAAGAGCCCAAGATAGTAACAAATGAACTTGAAATCTTCAAAGAATTCAAATATTTTGAAGCAACTTTGAACAGAAGTGAAAATCTTGAGAGAATGTATAGAGCATTGTTTACAAGTCTGTCTATATTTCAGAAATTCATACCCAGCCAGATGTCCTCAAGGACACATAGCAGAGTGGATAAAAGCATTGGTTAGATCCAGTGACAGGACCCAAAGAGTGTGAGTTCAATACCCGGTTAAGGCAGTGGAGAACTTTCAGAGGGAAATTAACAGGAGATAACATCAAAATATGGCACATGGAACTAGAACAGCCTACCCCATTGAGCAAAATAAAGGGTTCAGCTCGACATTCCAACCACCTGAAGAAGGCCGGAGCATACAATGGCCAAAACGTTGTGATAAATATGGCAACAAAGTTAAGGACAATAGTCCAAATAATGTAAATAATGAGCATTGCTTACAATCAAAGCAACTAGTGTCCAATCGGAAAGTTTTCAATTACCCGACTTTTCAACACAAAAATTAAAACAAGTTTGTCTGGTAAAGCACTCAATGCATTGTGTTTTTTGAAAGATAATTTCTAAAGGACATTAATGATTTAAATTCTCTAAAGAGTTATGCTTTTAACTAATATAGTTACTAAAAATTATGACATTGAATTTCTTGAGTTTTCATAAAATTTGGGGTGAAACACATATATGAAAAGATTTTTAAAAAATAATTTAATTCATTTGTGAATAAGTCCTGAAATGTTCATTTAAAATCAATTATTTGATTTTTGCAAGAATTTTCAAATTAATGTGTTTCACTGCAAAAAAGATGCTAAAATTTGGTATGCTAATTTATAGTTCATCCGTTGATTCAAGAAGAAAGATTTTTAATGTTCTAAAAAAGGATTAAAAAATTTAAGTATTTAAAAAAATACTTTGATCTTTTGTTTCAATAAAGGTTTAAGATAAAACTTTTTCATTAAGTTTGAAGTATTTTTTTTTTTTTTTATCACAGTATGCAAATTTTTAGTAAATTCGTGGAGGTACCTATAGCAAAGGAAAGCAAGAAGAAATTGTAGCAAGAAAGAATCTATGGGTGCCAGCAAGAGAAAGAACCCCCAAACAAACTACAAACTGGAGATGTCAAAAGCATGTAAATATGAAAATTTAGATATCTGGGAAGTATTTTAACAGAGGACAGAAACCATGACACTGAAATCCAAAGATGCATTGTACTAGTGAAAGATGCCTTCTAAAAGCTAAAGAAAGTATTAAGAAAAAGGAAAATTGCATTAGAAACAAAGAGCAGATTGTTTAACTGTTATGGTAGTAAAAGCTTGACAATTTCCTCAGATGAAGAGATTTGAGCAACAGAAATGTGGTTCTACAGAAGGATACTGAGAATCCCATAGACTGAACATGCGAGTAATTTTAAGGAAAATGGAAACAAAAAGGACATTTTTACTTAAAGAGACAGCTGAAATAAGACATGTAATAATTAGGAAATTTTGGCACTTTTTTTTTATGATGAGAAGAGTCAGGAATGTAAAAACTTGAGCGCATAATTATAAAAGAGGGCTTGGAGAATTTAACACTCACAGGACATACTGAAGACAAGATGGAGTGGAAAGCAATAAATAACCTACCTAACAAGTTTGCAAAGGGGTGACAGGGATAAAGAGAAAAGAGAGATTTCTGCTAAGGTTGGCAATTGATTCTTTTGCCTGGGTGTGTAGTTATGTGGAAATCTTTTTCTCACTCTTCTCTTTATACACACAAAAGTTATAAGATAAAAAAAAACATGCTAGCAATTCCTAATTGTATTAGCTATTCTTGTTAAAATCAGGATATAAATCAAATATTTTTAAAAAACACAATATCTCAAGAGTTCACAGCTTATGTGTCAAAGAGGGAAATACAAGCCAACACAGAAAGAAGGAAAAAGCACTTTAAAGGACAATAAAGACACTCCTGAAAACAAATACCTACACATGCATGCACACTCACAAACACAAGAGAGAACAATTACAAAAACACCACTACATCCTGAATGTAGATAAACAATTCAAACACTGACATTAAATCCTAAAGTTATATGGAGATACTTATGACAAATAAAAATTATTCCAAATTTAAAACTGAGGATTACTGTCTGAAGTTAGCTTTTCTTGTTACTGGAGAATATGAAAATATTCAGTATCATGAGGTTATGACTAATTATCAGTAGACATTGGATATAAAGCTTTTTTTTTTCCTTTTGGTTAAGGGACAAAAAATTTAAGGAGAAAATAGGAGTGGTTTTGTTTTTATTATAATATTTTTTTTAAATGTGACCTATTAAAATTGGTAGGTTCAAATGTTATCACTTTCCACATTTGCAAAGCATTAGTTCCAAGTGTACAAAAAGAGACCGTCAGAATTTGAACTGTTCAAGTATTTCATTTTTTTTTTGACAACAGCTATTAATCTAACCAACACCTTATAGTAGTATGATTATATGTTTAATAGGAGTAGATTGGTTTGCCTATCACCTGGTCTCCCCCCCCCCACCGTTCAAGAAATTCTAGTAAAGAAAATATCTTCTTCAGCAGGGACTGAACCTGTGTCTCTTTGTAGGAGAAATCACCATTTGATCTGACATACTTTACTGCTCAGTCACAAAAAAATGCCACAGTAAGTAAGGCTTTTTTTTTTAAAGAAAGGAACCTCTTCACTGCTCAGCTTCATTATATGAGAGAGTGTCAAAAAAAATGTATACACGCTTCAGGAAAGACTTTAAGAAAATTAATTTTTCTGTCAACAAGACTGCACACCACCATGATGTTTGAGCTTATCTGAATGAGAATTTGCAGAGACATTGGTTAGGACAAAGAGGTGCAGTCAAATTTCTCTCCACATTCCGATTTAACACTTGCAGAATTTTACCTATGGGGGTACCTGAAGGATGATGTGTTTCGCAGAAAACCAACTACATTGGCAGCCCATTAGACAATAAGTTGGAAATGTACGTGCTGCAATTCTACTGGACATTTTTGCCAATGTTGCTAAAGCAGTAGTTTGCTGTACTAATAAATGTCTGGAAGCTAAAAGTCACCATTTTGTGCATCTCTTGTGATTGTAGAGTGCGAAGGTAACTTGTATTAATCTCATGATGTCTGAGTAAATTTAGTATTACAATATATATACAAGTTTTTCCTTCCTGGAAGTGTGTATACATTTTTTGGCAGACTGTGTGTGTGTGTGTGTGTCAACTTTCAGATATAACTAAAAATATATCTGTAAAAGGATGATATGAGTAAAGAAAAAGAAAATTATGTCTGTATTTATTTATTCATTTATTTCTGCAGCTGCGGAAAGGAATATAAAGGAGAGACAGGCTGCCCCCTCAAGGTAAGGTTTCAAGAACACCAGAAAGCTGTAATACGAGGGGAAGTAGAAAAAACAGGCATGGCTGACCACATATAGAGAGAGAAGGGAGATCACCGTCCCCTGTGGGATCATGTTGAGATCATAGACAGGGAACACCATTGGAAAATTAAGTAAACTTAAGAAATCAGCACATATGCTAGGCCACAAAAAATCTCCTGAGCCAACCAAGCATAGAAATAAATACAATATGGGAACCAGTAACAAGGAGTGCCAGAGAAAAGCAACGATAACAAAGTTGCAATATGGGCTCTGGTAAAAACATGAAATGATAACAGCAAAAATTGCAATATGAGCACTGGTAAAAAATGGTTGCTGAAAACATTAGGTTTATAATATCCAGAAATTCATACCCAGCACAGTGGATAAAGGCGTTGGTTAGATCCAGTGACAGACGCAAAGAGTGCGAGTTCAATACCCGATTAAGGCAGTGGAGAACTTTCAGAAGGAAAATTAGCAGGAGATAACTGACATTCATCAAACATGGCACATGGAACTAGAAGAGTCTACCCCAGTGAACGAAATAAAGGGTTCAGTTCGAAATTCCAACCACCTGAAGAAGGCCGGAGTGTACAACGGCCGAAACGTTGTGACAAATATGGCGACAAAGATGAGGACAATAGTCCGACTAAAGTAAATACTGTACATATTTTTATAAATACAAATGATTTATTTTACAGGTATGTCCATGTTTTCTTTATTTTTAATTTATTATTGTTTGGAATTTGAATTTTTAATAATAAAAAAAAAAAAAAAAAACCTGGATGACTTAATTTCTTTATATATATATCTTAATGAGCCAGGTACTATCTACTTAGGTTTCATCACATGGGACCAGCAGGGTGAACTGGCTAGTGTAATATGTACAGAAAAGGAACTGGCGCAGACTGCAACATAGCATGGCCACAGGGTTGCCCACTCACAGGGACACCTTTCCATGTGCAACATGGCACTGCAAGAACCCCAATATTATGCAACTGTTGATCAGAGCAACCTCTCAAGATTCTATGCAAGAGTTTGGGATCCTAAATACCAGACAGGAACAGCAACCAGAAAACTGCCAACCCAGGTACCCTCAGTATGAAGAGACATTGCCATCATCCAGACATTTCACAAAAAATTCATAACAGCACCACTATTAAGGCCTAAAGAAAGGAACTGTGAACCCCTTCCTAAACAGGAGAAGTAATGAGCCTCTATTCTTGTATTATTTATCTATTTGTGATGTTAATTACAAATGTAGGCACTCTTCAATTGGTGAATGATTAAAGTGATAAAGTAAAGGCTGTGGATATAATGTCTGTAAGTAAAACAAGTAAAGACTATATCGGATTTCCTTAAAACTAAAAAAATGTTTTTTATTTGACACACACACACACACACACACACAATGTAAAACAAAACCAATTTCTCTTCCAACTCAAAATACTGTGGACAGGAATAAAAGCATAGTTATTATTCCAAAAGTGCTTTTCTCCAGTATTTACTAAAGAGCTGCAAAGTGAACCCAATTGTTCTTGCAATTCTAACTCACAGGTAGCTGAATAGGGCAATATGTTGTCACTGTACAACATTAGGGTCATGTGGAAACACTATCAATAGATAGTATAAAATTGTGATTCAAGGAGGTTTTTTTAGTTATAATAATGTAAGTTAAAGCATACCTTACTGTTAAGTCAAAATTATTTGTTATAATAAAAAAAATACAAAAACTTTCAATTTGATGAGATTCATTTTTGACTTCATCTAATAAAACTTTCCCATGACAATATCATTAATGGATCTCTAAGTAGTAAGATTACAGTAATTCTTTGATTAGTGCGGTTAATGTGTACATTAGTAACAATATTAAAAAAAAAAAAAAAAAAAAAAAAAAAATCAATTTTCAATTACTATGGTTAACTGAAGAATGTTTTATCACACTAATCAAGTATTATGTATGCACTAATTGAATTTTGGTATATAAAAATTTTTAACGTACTAATTGAAAACACATAAATTGAGGGATGCCTGTATTGTAGTAGCAAAATCAATGTATTCTTACAAGTGTGGTGTGTATAGAGTTATGCACACTGTAGGTAGATACAAAAGAATTTAAAGCTGGCTGATCATTTTTCAGAATATACTTGTCTGCTAGGGTAGTTAGCTAATCCCTTTTGCAGACACCTGCTGAGGCACATGCAGTAGTTTATATTAAGCAGAACTTAGTTGTAGTTTCTGAGAGTGAGCATACAATCTGACTTGATCAACAGTTTATGAAAGCTGGTTTGCTCAAACCCTCAGTCACAATGACTTGTGACTTTATGCTAGAACACTCACCAATAGGTTCAGTTCTAAACAGATCAGTCTATCCAATTTCATTCACAATGCTTGGGTCAACCTACAGTAGGATCAATAAGGCACTTCCCAATGGTTCCACACACACTGGTGTCATCTCACTAAGGCCAATATCTTCAAGAGGTCACCCTGACAAATTGACCATGGTGAGTAACATGAAAACTAGCTCAATCCATGGAAATGCCACATGTATGGATGATGAAGATCCATTATCATAATCCTGTTCTTTTCTCTTAGCCTCTAGCTTCTCGTTCTTACCTTTTAGTCCTTCCAGTTTTCCTTGCCTGGCCATGATTTTTATGTAAATTTTACACAAACATGGAATGTTTGTTTAATGGCATATCAACTTCTAGTGAGCCATCTAATGCGAAAGCAAATTTGTGTATTACTATTTCGTAGTGAAATTAAGTTAAGTTTTTTTTTTTTTTTAACATTATAGTTGTGTCAAAAGTTGTACTTAGCTTTTGTATTTATAAACTGTACTTACATGAAAAGTTAAAAGGTTTTTTTTTCAGATTTTGGTAAATAGTGTTTCTTTTAAGAATTTTAAAATGTTATCCAGATTGATCCTGGTAAAGAGTTCTTTCAGGTTATTTGTTTGGTAATATTTGATTCAGGCTAGTTTCAAGTTCTTAAATGTTGTCAGTATATAGTTTACTATGTACTCTTTCTGGCATGTCATGCATATAGTGGGCTTCCTCCCCTTTTAGTAGGGTATGAGTGCATGATAGATTGGTCCCCTCTATGTAGCCTGACCAGTATCATCTCTTTTCTGGACAGTGTGTAGCTCTGCCATGGAATTTTGCATATGTAAAAAAGGAATAAAGAATGCACTTAGTTTTTTTTTTCTCTCCTGCTTATTGCTTGGGGAATTTAGACCAGCTTGCAGTATAATTAGTGTTAGTTCATTTCATTTGCTCCAGGATCTTGTGTTTGCAAAATTGTTATAAAAATGGATCCACTTTTCATTATCTATCACTAGTTGTTTAGACAAACAAAAATATTTTCATTGCATATAAGCCATGATTCACATATGGAAATATGTACCAGGTAGGATTTTTTTTTGTTGAACTGATGAGGAAGCCACACATCAAAGTGACTAACATAATCAAGCTGATGCAACTGATTTTTAACACTTAATTTGGAGATGTTGAGTATATTGGTTATCTCATGCGTCATATGATATCAATTATTCTCAAGTCATGTCTACCCAAATATAGAAAAAAAAATTCACAAAGCACGTATTAATACAATCATGTAACACAATTGATAGACTACAAACATAGATTGCATCAGTCACATTTTATTAAAATAAAAAAAAAGAATATGCTGAAAATAAAACTGATGTTTGTTGCTAATATTTGAATATGAAAGAAAATGTTCATTTTGACAAAAAAATATCACAATATGAGTTTCTTTTTTTTAGAAGTTCACCTAGTACAATTTGACAAAAATAAAAACTAGAATGAATCTTAAGTAAGCTGATGAAATTGATAAACATTTAACTGAATCCAAATGAAACTTGTAGACATGAATGTGATCAAACCATGATGCTTCAAATTCACTGAGGCTGCAGATTATATCAGTAAAAAAAATACTATTTGATTAAATTCTTAAATGTTATACTTAACTCTCACTACATTTAACATATTAGTAAATGACAGAAGAATTAGTATTCATTTAAAAATATAGAGGCGTGGCTTACTAACTGGTAGCATTTTGCCCCAAATTCCTTATACAGCTATGGAAGTTATTTTATACATTCCTAACAATTTGACAGATAAAGGGGAAAAGAAAAAAAATAATTTAATCTGTACCTCATGTCATCAGGACTCTCTGCGCACATAATTAACCTCTTGTCACGGATCACCAACTCCAACATGCAAGAAATGCTAAAACCAGCAGGAGGTGCATTTGAATCTGTAATCTGTACAGAGGTGAAAAAAGAAAAAAGGTTAATACATGTCAAATAACAAACATTCTTTTAGTTTTTAAAGAAATCCTATATAGTCTTTACTTGTTTTACTTACTGACATTATATCCACAGCCTTTACTTTATCACTTTAATCATTCACCAATTGAAGAGTGCCTACATTTGTAATTAACATCACAAATAGATAAATAATACAAGAATAGAGGCTCATTACTTCTCCTGTTTAGGAAGGGGTTCACAGTTCCTTTCTTTAGGCCTTAATAGTGGTGCTGTTATGAATTTTTTGTGAAATGTCTGGATGATGGCAATGTCTCTTCATACTGAGGGTACCTGGGTTGGCAGTTTTCTGGTTGCTGTTCCTGTCTGGTATTTAGGATCCCAAACTCTTGCATAGAATCTTGAGAGGTTGCTCTGATCAACAGTTGCATAATATTGGGATTCTTGCAGTGCCATGTTGCACATGGAAAGGTGTCCCTGCAAGCACCTTCGGTGGGCAACCCCATGACCACACTATGTTGCAGTCTACACCAGTTCCCTTCCTGCACATATTACATTAGACAATCGACTGCTGTTACTACTACCCTAGGCCATTCCTTTACCAAAATAACACATCATGACTATAAACAACAAAAGACATAAACCTAAACCAGCTCAACAAAAAACACTTAAACCCCTCAACCTTAGACAGATTACAACTGTATTCTGCAACTTGTTGACCTCTCTGCCTTCAGGTGTAGAGGAACTCAAACAAGACTATACCAAAGGGTAGAGTCTTGTCTGGGGAGGTAGACAGCTACCCAACCCTATATATACAGGGTCTATGGGCAATTTTTGCCTGAGCCCATGGATTCAGAATCACCCCATGTAAAAAACCAGCCTTGTGCCACATCCTGCCTTTGTGGGGAGGTCTGGGTAAATACCTAACCTTTCTTTCTCCAACATTCATGGTATTCATATCAACTTCTGCAATGTGAAATCATTGCTCTTTGAAAAGTCTCTGGACATCCTAACTCTCTGCAAAACTAATCTTAGTTCTTCAATCTCCTCCCCTGATTTCTCAATTTCTGGCTATCGTCCTCTCCTTAGGAAGAGCTCTAATGTCTACATACATGGCCTGAGAATTTATGTCTATGAACATCTCCTGCTGGCGAGGGAACTCTCCTGAATCTCCAGACCACTCTTGTGTGTGTGGGTGTGTGTGTGTGCGCACACTTCTCTCTCTACTGCTCTTGAGAAGGACCTCCAATCAGTGGTTAACCGGGGCAGGAATGGCTTGTAAATTTTAATACCTCCAAAATGAAACTGCTCTTATTTAACCACCATAGAGAAATTTCCCTGCCTGCCATCAGCATGGCTGATACTTTACTCCTGAGAGTGTCATACTGCGCTTTCTTGGCCTCACGTTATCAACAGACTTGAAGTGGAACAACTTCCTTGAATCAATAGCTGCACCTACTGCAAGGAAAGGTTGGGTCAGTGTGTCGTGTCAGGTTTTTCTCATCAGAGTCCATCTTGCACATTCATAAAGCTACGATTTGCCCATGCATTGAATGCTGCTGCCATATCTGTTCTGGTGCTTCTGCTATTCATCTCGAGGTTCTTGACAAAATCCAAAAGTAGGATCTACAATGCAATTGATCCTGATTTGGCATCTCAATCTCAGTCACTTTCTCACTGATGTGGCTGTCCTGTCTTTTCTACAAATATTTTATAACAAGCTCCCCCCCGCCCCGGTGCCCTGACTACATGAATTTAAATGTGCCACTAGATTGACATCTAGGTCCCACTCTTTTACTGTTGAAATAGTTAAATGTAACCACCACTTCTACTCTAACAGTTTTTCTCACACTTCTTGCATGTGGAACTCCCTTCCGTTTATTTGCTTCCCTGAAAACTACAATCTTCAAAAATTTAAATGCAATATCAATTGCCATCTTCTGTCATCTTGAATCCCATTCATTGTTTATCCTTTCCTCAATCCCCCTATACCCAGTCTTTTCTCTCACTTCCACTGACTAACTCCTTGCATACTAGTGGCATTCCCGCTTTGCTTGGAACAAAAGTATTAAAGAAAAAAAAAAAACATTTATGCAGGTTATTTAAAGTCAGAAAATATTTTAGATTGTGAAAAAGAAAAATGGCGGGGGGGGGGGGATAATGTTTTAGTGATACAAGTTTTATTAATTAATCCATAGCTGGGGGAGAAGAGGTGGATTCATACCTTTCCCAAGGGTATTTGTACATAAGTGAATATAACAAACAACTGGAATTAGTACACTTAACAATCCCAAGCCATTATCCATTACACTAGCCACACATTTAAGCTTACAGCACCTGGTATTACCAAGTGGTATTGACCAGGCTTGATGTTGTTTAACTTGGTGATCATCTGGGAACTGGTATTTCAATGTAATATCGCTGTTTGATGACATACACAGGCTCAACAGGTAAGATCTAAGTGTTATAGCCCGCTATGTAGTTTCACACACACACACACACACACACACACATATATATTGAAAGATGCATTTTATCAGTTGGCTAATGCAACAAAATACTAAATGATGAACAAAGAAAACAAGGAAAGAAATATAAATAGCGTTATTTATAAGTGTACCTTAGCTGAGATGAGTGAGTAGTGAGGATCAAATTACCAACTCAATTGTAATTGATCTAGGGAGACAGACTTGTTAACCATTAGACCATGTCAAAAAATCTGATGCAAGAACAGATAGCATTAAACTAGGTACCTCCACTAATTTGATATAAATAAGGTTCAAAATGAATTTTTAAAAATGAAAAGGCTTTCTTGAAACTTTCATTTTAGCCTTAATTGAAAGTTAAAGGATTTAAAATTTACTATTTCCAGTAAGCAAAACAGAAATTATGTAGATTGGAATCTATTTTCTTTTTTCATTAAAATCAATCAAAACAACCATTTTTGACACATTTGTAAAAAGTTAATATCTTGCAAAAATAAAATATATATTTCTGAAACATTGAGGAAAATTTAAATTAAATTAATCTAATTTAAAACAAATCTATCTTACTTATAAGCATAAAATGTATACAAACATTTCTTAACTACAGGGCCTTGTTTTTTTTTCTGACATGTTAATTAATTTGTTTACATCTGATTGACAGCCAAATGTGTTCATAGTTAAGTATGGTGGAACAAATAATAAAGCCTCAGTTTTTTGTTTTTTTTTTCCATAAGTGAGAGGGAGACAACCATTAAAACATGAACAAAAAAAAAACACACACACAAAAAAAAAAAAAAAAAAAAAAAAATAATTTCATTTGTGAGCAAGTCCTGAAAATTTCCTTAAAATCTGACAATTGATTTTTGCAAGAATTTCCAAATTAATGTATCTGTCACTGCAAAAAAGAGGCCAAAATTTGCTATGCTAAATGTTAGTACAACAGCTCACACAAAAAAAAAAAAAAAAAAAAAAAAAAAAGTAAAAATTTAATTAAATGATCAAAAAATACTTTGATCCTTCCTCTTAATAACAACAATTTTAATGATAAAACTGTTTTCATTATATTTGGAGCATGTTTTCATCACAGTATGCTGATTTGTTAGTGTTTTCATGGAGGTACCTCCATTAAACAGATACAAGCTTTGTAGTCGGTCATGAAGAGATAAATATCCCAATCAATTTACTAAAAGGTAAATGTAACAACTTTCAAGTCCTTCCTGCTTTTATAAACAGAAAGTTGTTTCAGCAAATATCTTAGAAGCATTCAGCTTATAGTGAGCAAACAAATTTAATAGAATTTGGGGTTTAACTAGTAGTGGAAATGTGACCTTCACTATTTCAAGGACAATATTTTTATACGTCCATTGTTTTAATATTATAAATGGAGAAATGAAAAATTTCAAATATAACTAAAAATATATCTGTAAAAGGATAATATGAATAAAGACAAAAGGAAAACTTATCTTTGTCTATGCATTTTGTCCTCTGATGGACTTTATTAAGGCAAATGTAAAGATTTTATTTTGCAACAAGTATTTATAAACAAAAGTAAAAATGTTGTTAGTTTTGTAAAAACTTAATTTGAGAAACATTCATAAATATTAATCAGACAAAATGAAAAGTTTAGGTAAATTATGGAAGATACTAAGTGACATAATTTGATGTCTAATAAACAATAGGTAGTAAATGATGTTGAACTTTTTTTCTTTTTTTTAGTAATTAATATTTTAACAACAATGACAAACTAAATAAAAACAAACATAATACTACCTACTAACTCCTTAACATTATTTGTTCTTAGTGTTATAGTTTGAAAGACTGGTTTTTAATCATATTCCAACCTCATTTATTTAAGGTTTCATTTTCACTACCTGGCCATTTATTACAACCAATAGATTCTTCAAGTATGTATGACTGCAAATAATTAACTGGATACTTCCCAATTGACACCTTCCCAAGTAAACATTCCTATCAAAAAGTAGACATGTTGAGCAGCTTCAACCTCTATATATGGTCATGGCAAAATTCAAATTTAGATGGCTAACATAAAAATAAGTATTTCCATGAAATTGCTAAGGGGGACCCCCCCCCCAAAAAAAAACCGTATACCATGATGAAAAAATGCACCAAACTTAATGAAAACAAAGTTTTATTGTCAAAATGTTTGTTATTATTAAGAAGAAAGACCAAAGTATTTTTTTTGATATTTTATTGAATTTTTTCATCCTTTCTAACACATTCAAAATTTTTGCCAAAATTTTTGATTTTTTTGCATCAACAGGTCCACCAAAGATTAGTATTAGGAAATTTAGTGTCTTTTTTGGCATTAAAAATGCATTAAAAAAAAAAAAAAATTCTTGCAATAGTCAATTGTCAGATTTTAATGAAACTTTCAGAACTTATTCACAAATGAGTTAAATTATTTTAGACAAGTTTTGTTTTTTTGTTTATTTTCACAGCTGTTATCTCACTCCCACTTACTTAATTTGATGAAAGTTGAGAAATTCAATG